CCCAAATCACCTGAGCAAAGCAGGAGTTGCACACAGGGATAACCCAAATGAAACAATACACAAATCCACTTTTAGCGTGTTTTGTTTTGTTCCAGGGACATAAACCCAAATCACCTGAGCAAAGCAGGAGTTGCACTCACACAGAGAACCCAAGTGAAATAACACACAAATCCAACTTTAGGATGTTTTGTTTTGTTCCAGGGACACAAACCCAAATCACCTGAGCAAAGCAGGAGTTGCACCCAGGGACAACCCAAGTGAAATAACCCCCAGTTGCACTCCTGGGCTGTTTTGCTCCGTATCTCCAGACACCCAAAGCCTCCCCTACGCCCATTTCTTCCTCGAGGCACCGCCAGCCCCGTTTCTCAGGGAAAAGGAATCGGGATGAATAGTCCCATAAAGAATCCCAGCAGAGCCCGTCCTGCCCCGGAGCCGCCACCACGCCAAGGTCCAACTCTCAATTAACCCCCGGCCGACCTTCCTTCACTTTCTTTCCCCCTCCTCTGCCCTTCCTGAGAAAGTTCAGCGTTTCCTGGAAAAGTCTCCCTGCCTGTTTGATATTGTACTTCGCCTTGGTTGCTGAAGGAAGGATTTACAGGTGCCTGGCCCCCTCTGGAAGACCATGACCGGAGGGTGACCTCCCGGTACAATATGTGAACTCCTGCCCCGCTGATAAGGCTGCCAGATATGAGTAGGATTTTTCAAATAATCCTTTGGGAATTTATAAGCAGCGCAGCCATAAAACCGAGGTGACTGGAAGGTCGATTTCACTAAAAATAATAAATATCCCGATGTTTATTCAACGTGGGCCTTTTTAACTGCGGGCCAAGCGCCGAGATAACGCCATTGTAAATGACAAATATTGGGATTTTTTGGTAACTATTACATTATGATCCTTCCGTCTGACACTGATGTGGCCGTTTCCCCCGATGCTTGCAGGATCCCTGACATTGTTCAGCCCAAGTTGGGCCTGGAAAGCTGGGGCAGGATTCAATCACGGGTCAGGAAAAGGGCAGTTTTCTTCTCAGGAGCCTCGGGAACCTTTTTCTGGCGCTCCCATCTCACTAACACACCTTCTGCCCGGGGGTTTTTGGCCTTATCAGGGATTCTGGTGGAAATGGAGAAGGAGGAATGGGAGGACTGAGTGATCTCAGCTCAGGATGGGGACAGAGGACACTGACCTGCTGGCACAGAACCCCTGCTCCAGGTTTAACCTCCCCATGGAATCGTTTCTGGTGGAAAAGACCCCAGAGACTGAGTCCAACTCCAGCAGTGCCAAGGCCACCCCAACCATGTCCCCAAGTGCCACATCCCCAGGGATTTTAAATCCCTCCAGGGATGGGGATCCACCACTGCCCTGGGCAGCTGTGCAAGGGCTGGACAACCCTTTCCATGGAAAAAATTTTCCCAATATCCAACCTAATCCTCCCCTGGCACAACTTGAGGCCGTTTCCTCTCATCCTGTCCCTCGTTTTTTGGGAGAAGTGACCGGTCCCAGCAGGCCCCATCCTCTTGTCAGGGTGTTGTGGAGAGACCATCACAAGTCTCCTGCACTATTCCCACCTCCAGCAGAAGACAATCCCACTCAGATCCATCCCACGGATCCGGCCATGAAACCTGCCTTGGAACAGCAGCATTTCCCTGATACATTTTGGAGGATGGACTGATATTTCAGATTAGAAAGCAAAGCAACAAGACAACAAAAAAAAAAAACAAACCAACCCAAATGTAGAAACAAAAACTATTTGAAATGTGCCAAACTGCTCCAGCCACCACCAGAATCCCTTCATCCTCCTCCTCATCCCACCTTCAGGTCCAAACACAGCATTAAATCTGCACCGAGGCCCGTGAGCTGCTCCAATATTATCCCAAATATCCTGTTTTCATCATCCATATTTTCCCCTGAAGTTTCTCCCAAATAAAGTGACACTTGGAAAGCCACGAAAACTCTCGGAGCAGTTGAAATCTTCAATTAGCAAACGAACTGAGGAGGAGGGTTTTGTCCAACCTAAACACGGCGACGCAATTTCGGGGAGGGCAATTCCTTCATCCCGATAAAATATCCCGGTAAAGGAGCCAAATGGCATAATTATTAACAGCTGAGGGCACAGAAAAAGGTCTTATATAACTGGGGTTTTAGGACAATTCTTCTCCTTCAGCAAAATTCCTGCTGGAGAAACTTTGGAAGGGCCTTAAAAACAATTCCCTCTTGAGCCTGGCTCGGAAAGGGAGGAAAGTTGGGAACGGAGTGTTCCTTTCATGTGCTGCCTGGGCTCTGGAATGTCCAACCACGGGAGAAGGGCCCTCCAACAGCTCCCAAGCTCCATAAAAAAATGGATGCAGACCCCACAGGTTGGTTGGGATGGTGGATGCAAAGCTTGGGAGCCGCCGGAGGCACCTCGGGAATTACGAGTCGGAGGGTGAGCTCCGAAGGGAGCTTTGATTATTAATTTAATAATTTTATTTAATCTTAATATAAAAATAAAATAATTGGATTTCATAATCAATAATAAACTAGTTTATTTTGATATTAATTTATCAGGAGCCTTATCTGAGCTCCTGATAAATTAATAATGAACAAATTAGTGCCTCACGTGCTCGTAACGCCCAGGAGAAAAAGCAGCTCAAACACAGGAGCTCTCCCAAAAGTTCTCCAGAACCTGACACAGCTCAAGGGGACAATTTACAGTCAAAAAATGAGCCCTGACACAGAATAGTTCCAGTTGGATCCCATTTTTCCATCAGGGATGCGGAAGTGATCCAGTCAAATGTGGAATTGGTGGGATCTGGCAGCAAATCTGCTCCTGGCAAACGATGTTTGAAGGGCAGCAAAGTTCTTGTAGAGCAGCAAAGAGTTCATTTCAAACCAATTCTTGCCCCAAAACTCCTCCATTTGCACTGAATAATCAATATACTCTGGCCAAAGATGAATTCTTGGAGGAAAAATAAGTCAAAAATTCATAAAATCCAACCAATTCCTCCCCAAAACTCCTCTCTTTCATTGAAAAATTAAGATACAGTGGACAAAGGAGAATTTTTGGAGGAAAACCATATCATGGAATCATAAAATCAAACAAATTCCTGCCCAAAACTCTTCTGTTTTCACTAAATAAAGAAGATACTATAGGCAAAGGTGAAAATCTTGGTGGAAACTAAGAAATCTATACATTAAAAACTCGGGATTTGTGATATTTGGAGGAAATATCCCTTTATATTTCCAAGCTCTGTGTGAACTCTGAGGGTTTTACCCAAATCCATCCTCTATCCCTGGGCTATTTTCTCCTTCAGGGAATGCACTTTCAAGGCAGAAATGATAAATAAATATAAATAAATATAAATAAATATAAATAAATATAAATAAATATAAATAAATATAAATAAATATAAATAAATATAAATAAATCACCCCATGGGTCACTCACCAGGACAGAATAGATGTGCAGGCAGCGATAAACTGGGGAGAAATCCACCAAATCCTGGGCTCCAGGCACCTGGAAAACGGCAGGAGATGGGTGTGAAATATGTGGAATACGTGGAATAAGTACAGGAAAGTGGAACCTCCCCCCCAAAAATCACATATAAAGTGCAACTGCAAAAAATTCTATATATGTATAAGTGCAAGGCTGAAAAATAATCAATTAGGAATAAATGACACTTGGCAAAAAAATCACATCCAGGTAAGTGCAGCTCTTCAAAAAACTAATATATCAATAAGTGTCACTCTAAATAAAAAAAAAATCACATTTAAGTTAGTGCAAGTCTAAAAAATATTTTAAAAAAATCACATTTAGGTAAGTGCAAGTCTAAAAAAATATTAAAAAAAATCACATTTAGGTAAGTGCAAGTCTAAAAAATATTTAAAAAAATCACATTTAGGTAAGTGCAAGTCTAAAAAAATATTTAAAAAAACATCACATTTTAGGTAAGTGCAAGCCTAAAAAAATATTTAAAAAAATCACATTTAGGTAAGTGCAAGTCTAAAAAAAATATTAAAAAAAAATCACATTTAAGTGCAACTCTAAAAAAAAATTATAGAACATGTATTATTATATAATATATAAATAAGTGTCACTCCAAAATATCAAATACAGGTGTGAGTAACTCCAACAGGAGCAGGTTCAACAGGGAGATTTCAGGTACAATAACCAAGTTGCTAACATATGATTGTTATATAACATTATATCTGATTTCACTTCAATTTTTTTAATTTTTTCAAGGTTTTAAAGCGGGAAAATGTCCTTTTAATGCTGATTTTGCCCCATTTCCAACCCCACTGCAGCAGATTCATTTTGACCAGGGGCGTCCCGGCACAAAGTCCTTATGCAACAAAAGGGGATCAAACAAACCAAACCCAACTTATTCTTTAGATTCCCAGTTTGATTTGTTTTAAAATAAAGCTGGAATTGTTATTTTATTTTGCCTTTTTTTGTGTGTGTGTGTGTGTGCTCAGGGAAGAGGCGCCACAAAGGCTCCACCACCTTTCAACAACAGGCTGAGCCGTGAGCGGGGACGAGGAAGAGCTTTTTTCCAAGGGTTGGGATGGAGGGAGGGAAAGGAAAGATCAGAGGGGGAAATTTGCATACAAGAGGCTCTTGTCCTTTGGAGATGTTGGAGGGAACACGGAATTAAAACTTGTTGGCCGGGCCTTAAAAGCTGAAGGAACCGTCCCCTTCTCCCCGAAAATCCGGAGAGCAGGGGCGTGTTCTGTTGACATGTGGTGGGGGATTAAAAAAAAGAAAAGGGGGAGAAAAGATGAAAGGGCCCAATGGACAGGCCTTGGAAACATGTTTATTTTCTATAGTTTTAATTGTGCTTCAGAGGCCTTTGGGCTGGGAAGGAGGTGGGATGAAGAAAGAGGAGTTTCGGGATGAAGGAAGGTTTGCCAACCTCACGCCCGGGGCGAGGGTCCTGCTCGGCTCAGCCAGCAGGGAGGGCAAAGGGATGGGCTGGGAAGGGAAAAACGGGGGATTCTGGGAAAGAAACTCCTGGATCATGTGGAACTGGTGGTAAAGAATCTCCTCCATGCAAAGGAACTCGGTGCTCAGCCACGCAGAGCTTCTCGGTGGGAGTGGAAATGATGGAGCAGAGACTGGTTTGGGTTGGAAAGGAACTTCAGGATCATCTCATTCCACTCCCCTGCCGTGGGCAGGGACACCTTCCACCAAAGCAGGTGGCTCCAATTCCCAAAAAGAAAGATGCAGAGATAGAAAGTGAAGCTACAGACATGGGCATATCCAAGCCTGCATCATCAGCATCACATCGAGATCCCCAAAAAACCTGTCATTCCCAAACCATCAGTGCAGGGAAGGGAAGTAGGAGGTTTGCTGGGAACAAGGCAGCAAAGAGAATTAATTTTTGGGGTGCTGTGAGTCCACTCAACCATCTCACTGCACTTTCCTTCCCACCCCTGCACCAAACATTCCATCTCAGCAGCTTTCCTGGATGAGCAGGGTTGGCTCTCTGGGAAGGAGGAAGGTTTCCAAGCAAAGGATGAGGCTGGGATCACTCGTGGGACCCTTCCCATGTTCATCTGGGATGTTCAACACAACCCACCCGAAGGCTGGGAGAGCTGGGGGGGTTCCCCTGGAGAAGAGAAGGCTCCAGGGAGAACTGAGAGCCCCTGGCAGGGCCTAAAGGGGCTCCAGGAGAGCTGGAGAGGGACTGGGGACAAGGCACAGAGGGACAGGACACAGGGAATGACTTCCCACTGCCAGGTGGGATATTGGGAAGAAATTCCTGGCTGGGAGGGTGGGGAGGTCCTGGAATGAATTTCCCAGAGAAGCTGTGGCTGCCCCTGGATCCCTGGAAGTGTCCAAGGCCAGGTTGGAACAACCTGGGCTAGTGGAAGGTGTCCCTGCCAATGGCAGGGGATGGAATTGGATAATCTTGAAGGTCCCTTCCAGCCCAAATCATTCCAGGATTCCCTGGTCAGAGCTGAACCGAGGGCACAAAGCTGGGAACAGCCCTCACCAACATCCCTCTCACTTTTTATAACCCTTTATTTGACAACTGCAAACACGAGGCAGCACTTTTATCCCATCAATGTCGATTTTATCCCATCAATGCCAATTTTATCCCATCAATGCCGATTTTATCCCGCCTTCCTGGCCCTTGATTTTCCATTTGGAGCCTGCCAGGCCTTTCAAACTCCCGAAGCAGCTCCCAAACCCACATTTCAGCTGGTTTGTGGCCTCCTCAGGACACAGTTTTGCCTCGCCGGCGTTGAGAGCGATCGGCCTCCAGTTGTTAAAACACTTAAAAAGTGTTTCTTGGGAGCTTCTGGCTCCCAAATCCCTGATTGCAAAACTCCTGGAGATCACTGGAGCAGACAGGGAAGCACCAGCAGGCCCTCCCCATTCCATCCTTCAGAGAAATCTGTCATCCCTTCCCATCACCATCAAAGCAGGCCCAGCTTTCCAGTGAATTCCGACTCGGGATCAAACAGCTTGGATTCGGGACGCTGGAGCCGAACGCGATCCACGGAGAAATATTCCCGAGAAAGGTTTGTGAAATCGGGATATTGCCAAAAAAGCCGGAGTTTCCTCCCCCCCGAGAAATTCTTTCAAAGCAACTGCAGCGTTTTCACAGCCTCTGATCTTCTGTGAAAACTTTTTAAGCCCACACACGCTCCCAAAAAAAAAATCTGCTGGGGCTGCTCTGCAGAGCTCCCAGTTGCGAGCCATTAAATCCCTGATAATTTTCACATTCCTAATTTCAAATTCCTAATTTCAAATCCCTAATCGAAGGGGATTATGGGGACATGGAAGGTCAACCCGGGACCACAAGAAAGTTTGTGCGAAATAAAGCCAAGACTCCCCCAAAAAATGTGCTGGGATTTGAAGCAGGGTATAAATCTAAGTGTAGGATAAGGAACAATATAATTATGACATATATATTTATGGTTTTTTAAGGAAAAAAACAGACCATGTCTTCCACACACACACCACAGCCCTGAAAAAATATTCCTATTATTCAAAATCTTTCCAAAATAGCCAAGTCTATCAACCAGTCTGTGATTCCAGGGAATCCTCTCTCTGGCTGGTTCAACACACTGCACAATTTCACGTGTCTAATATTTACAGATTTAGATCTTTAACTAACATTTCGATATTTGGACATACCTAAAAATTCAGATTTAGCACATCCCCCCCAGCAATGACTTGATTTTCCGAGCCAAAGCTGCAGCACCAACGTTCAAAACCATAAATAAATCCTCGATTTTTGAGACTTGACCACGACCTGAGACCTTGGACCACCCCCACAATGGGACTGATTTTGCCCCTGATATCTCCCCTAGTCTTTTTTTTTTTAATGCCTTTTCATTTGCAAGAACAAAGGATTTATTCATCCTGTCCAAAAAATTTCCCAGTCCACCAAACATCAGCTTCCCAAATCTCGTTCCCGAATCTTGCACCGGGCACGTTCCTGGAGCTGGGAGCAGAGGGAGACCTGTCAGCCTCTGTAAACAGCCAAACCCTCTCTGTCCTGAAAGAACTTTTGGGTTCAACAATTCCTGAAGCAAATTTAACCCATGGAAGCCAAGTTTTTCATGGAAATGTTCGACTGTGATGTCGCCAGCACCAGGCTGGCCCAGATTAAAGGATGCCCTGCTCTGGCTTTGGATAATTTGGGATACAAGGACATGAATCTCTGAACCTTGATGGTTTTTGATGTAAAGACATGGAACGAGCAGAGATACGTTTGATCCACAGGGAAGGGAAAAAAAACCCTCCTGACTGAAACAGCGGCAATTCCAGAGAACCGGAATTCAGGAATTCAGGAACCACCTCCTGGGCCTGTGGGATTAGCTGGGGTTGAGGAACATGGGACACACAGCATGGAATCCACCAAGGCTCAGCTCCAGCAGAGGACATGGAGCAGGGTAGGGGGGTGACTTCATGGGACACACATTCCAAGAAGGATCCGTTCACCTTATGGGATAAAACTCCACTGCTGCCAGAAGTGTTGGTTCTGCAGCTCCAGCTCTGGAGTCCTCAGGACAAGAAAGACATGGATTTCTTGGATCAAGCCCAGAGGAGGCCCCGGAGCTGCTGCCAGGGCTGGAGCCCCTCTGCTCTGGAGCCAGGCTGGGAGAGCTGGGGGGGTTCCCCTGGAGAAGAGAAGGCTCCAGGGAGAGCTGAGAGCCCCTTGCAGGGCCTGAAGGGGCTCCAGGAGAGCTGGAGAGGGACTGGGGACAAGGCATGGAGGGACAGCACACAGGGAATGGCTTCCCACTGACAGAGGGCAGGGATAGATGGGATATTGGGAAGGAATTCCTGGCTGGGAGGGTGGGGAGGCCCTGGCATGGGTTTCCCAGAGAAGCTGTGGCTGCCCCTGGATCCCTGGAAGTGTCCAAGGCCAGGCTGGAGCAACCTGGGCTAGTGGAAGGTGTCCCTGCTGTAGATTTGCTCCATCCTGTGTGGTCTCAGTGTCCTTTGACTATCCCATGGCTTAACCCTGGGGAAAAAAAATGACTGTATTCCTACAGTCAGGAGGATTCCCAGGACACTGTAACCCTGGAATGGGACAGAGGGTCCTGCCGACCCTGTGATCTCACTCCGGCTCATGTGAGACTCAACAGGCTCTGTCTGGAACACAGGGGGTTTTCCCAGGGTCCAAGATGTCTCTTCCATAATTCCCAAAGAAAAGGTGAAGGCTGATGGCACCTAAGGAAGACATTTCTCGGGCAGAGCCAGGAGAGCTCTCCGGGGTCGCTGCTCCAGCTCCCACAACTTTGTAAGGAATCTATTCTGCTCATTTAGAGAACTCCAACTTGTCCCTAGAGCCAAGAATGCCAAACATGAGGAATCTTGGCCATGCCTCACACCTGCTGGCGTCCTGAGTGCCAAACTCCTTCTCCCAGGAGCAAAACTGCCTGGAATTTGTTTGTTTGTCCCTCAAAGATGCCGAGAGGCCGTTTTTTCCGAGGGGTGACGTCCTCCCTTAGAACTTCCCTACAAAGGAGCACCAGGGAGCCCAAGTGGACCCCACCACTTCACAGGACACCTGTTTTGGGGACAAGAGGAAAAAGAGGGACGACGCTGGTGGAGCTTGTCCTGCTGGACTCAACAGCAGCACAGAAGAAAAGCCGCTGGAAACGGGAAGAATCCGGCGGAGCTTTGTAGCCCTCTGGATGTCGTTTACTACAAAGGGAAGGGCTGGCACCGACCGGGCAGGCTGGGGAGCTGCTCACTGTGAAGTGCAAACCCTCCTGCAGCAACTGGACACTCATAAAACCCCGGTTTGAGGCTTCTCCCAGCTCGTTTTCCAGCTGTTCCCACTCCCGCGCTCCGGTTCTGGGAGGCAACTGTACTCCAGTGGGACGAGGCTGGACCGTGATGTCTCCAAACTGGACAATGCTCGTGGAGCTGCCAGAGCTCTCTCAAGTTGCTCCAAGGGACAGAATCTTCTCCACTGGAATTGACAGTAGGGGCCAAAACCCTTCTGGCTCGTTCTTCCCTTTCAAAGCTCTTCCTGGAAATTTTGCCGCGGGGATGAAGGGATTGCTCCACAGGGGTGAGGAATAACAGGATCACCAGGACAGTTCGCCCAGCCCAGGTGGAGAACTCCAAACCAGAACCTCCTGAAGTGCTTCCTAGAGGTGCAAATTTACATTTACCCCACTTTTTCCAGCCTGTGAACCAGGATCAGGAGTTCTCCTGCCTAAACTTAAATAAGGACCACCCAGGACCATGCCTGGTTTTCCATCCTGAGGTTTTCTTGGAAGCAGAGAAGTAGAAGCCTCAGCAATCTCTGGTGGGCAGAACACAACCAAAGACACATGTCCAGTGGGTGCAGCTCTGTCCCTCTACCCCACAAAGCACTCCAGAACACGGGGGGGTTGTGCAGGAAATGAGATACCTGCACTCAGGACACTTCATATTAATAATTTTTAAGCATTAAGGACCAACTTTGAAACCCAAATTCTGAATTAATAATATTCCTGCACAGATCAGGCAATCAGAAGGAGGAAGGGCTCCCACCAGAAGGTGAAAAGTGAGGAATGAATCCAGCAACCATGAAAAGTGAGAATTGTTTTTTCCCTTTTCCTTATTAAAGTGTCTTTACCTTGACACACAAGTTTTCTTGTTCTGGCCCCTCACATTGTGTCCCCAGATCTTCTGAGGAGGTGGAGGGTGAGCAGCAGTTGATTGGGGGCTTAACCACAGACTGGGGTCAAACCACTACATCCAACATTCCTTCAGATTTGGAATCACAGAACCCTTTAGGATGGAAAAGCTCTCTGAGATCATCCAGTCCAACCACCCCCAGCACTGCCAAGGCCACCACTGACCCCTGTCCCCAAGGGCCACATCCACAGGGATTTGAAATCCCTCCAGGGATGGGGATCCACCACTGCCCTGGGCAGCTGTGCCAGGGATGGACAACCCTTTCCAGGAAGGAATTTTCCCCAGTATCCAATCTCAACCTCCCCTGGCACAGCCTGAGGCTGTTCCCTCTCCTCCTGTCCCTTGTTCCCTGGGAGCAGAGCCCGACCCCCCTGGCTCCAACCTCCTTCCAGGGCATTTTAGGGATCCAGAAGGTCCCCCCTGAGCCTCCTTTTCTCCAGGCTGAGCCCCCCCAGCTCCCTCAGCTGCTCCTGCTGCTCCAGCTCCTTCCCAGCTCCGTTCCCTTCCCTGCACACGCTCCAGCCCCTCCACATCTTTTTGAGTGGCCCAAAACCTTAATGGCTCTATTTCCATCCGAGAGATCCATTTGTACTAATAAATAAATAAATAACCTTCTGTCCAAACAGGAAAAACCCCCAGGAGGCAGGAAGATGGGGAACTCAGAAATCATCAGGGACCAAACCCCCTCCCTTTTCCCACTGAGGCAAATCTGGGAGAAGGGGACACAGGGGTCTCCTCCCTGGGGGGCTCCAGGGAACACAGGGGGGTCCCAGGGCTGCACTTCATCACCACGGACAGCACCCACCCCTGCCAGGGCACTGGGACCGAGCTCTCTTGCCCCGGCCCTGCTGCCCAGCACCCACTGCAGGGTCCCCCTGACTGTGGGGTCACCCCATCCCACCAGCCAGGTTTGGATCACACCCAGGGATGGGACTGCACCTGCCTCGAGATGGGGTGGAATCCTGGAATGGGTTGGGCTGGAAGAGACCTTAAAGCTCATCCAGTTCCAACCCCCTGTCATGGACACCTTCCACTAGCCCAGGTTGCTCCAACCTGGCCTTGGACACTTCCAGGGATCCAGGGGCAGCCACAGCTTCTCTGCCCAACCTGCCCAGGGCCTCCCCACCCTCACAGCCAACAATTCCTTCCCAATATCCCATCTATCCCTGCCCTCTGGCACTGGGAAGCCATTCCCTGTGCCCTGTCTCTCCATGCCTTGTCCCCAGTCCCTCTCCAGCTCTCCTGGAGCCCCTTCAGGCCCTGCAAGGGGCTCTCAGCTCTCCCTGGAGCCTTCTCTTCTCCAGGGGAACCCCCCTCAGCTCTCCCAGCCTGGCTCCAGAGCAGAGGGGCTCCAGCCCTGGCAGCAGCTCCGGGGCCTCCTCTGGACTCCTTTCATTTTGCTGCAGGAGTGAACAGCCCCCCCAGATGGTTGCAGAGCAGTGAGAAGGCTCTGGGTTGACCCTACAATTTGGTCCCTGTGAAGTAAATTGTGATCTCAGTCTGCCGTGGACCCACAGCAGTGATTTATTTGCAGGGAAAAGGCAGAACAGGAGCACAGAACCACTTGACCAACCCTATTTTAAACTTCAAAAACTTGTTTTTTATCCCCTTCTCTGGCCAGTCATGGACTGTTCTAGTCCATGGTCAGGTTCAGGATGACAAACACCACCCCGTTCAGGTTCAGGTTGTAGCTGAAATTATCATTTTCTTGACATGAGAGGCTTCAGCAGGAAGAGAAAAAACACCCAGAGTGGCAGACACAACTGGCCAAAAGGTCCAGGGCGAGGCTGAATCCCAAGAAATCACAAGCACATCAAAAAGCTCCACATCCCACGTCCTGCACTCCAGGTTTGGATCTCCAAGCTGCCTTTCTATGTTATCCATCACAAATCCAAGGTATCCCCACTCTGCACTATCCTCCAGCACAGGGAGCAAAGAGAGAAGAACCAACCCTACCACGAGGTTCTGGTTTGTGGTTCCCAAACCCAAGGGGGTTCCAGCTCTGAGGAATCAGCAGGAGAAAGGGAGGCAAAGGAGGGACCACAGCAAGGAATTAAATTTAAATTGCTTTGAAAACTTCCACCCTGACAATCCTTTTCAGCCCAAAGTACATCTCTGCCACCAAGACAAAGTCTCAAAGAAAAGGTCAAGGATCTCCTTGTGATTTATCTTTTTAAGGAAGGATGGATCCAAACTGCCTTTTCCATAAGCACCCAAGTGCAACCCTTGAGCTGGGGGACAGATATGAGATGTCCAGTTCTCAACCCTTGGCCTCTCTGCTGAGCCTGGGAACAAGATCAGGGATAAAAATGCAAAATAACCTAATTATGAAACGCACCCCCCGTTCCACAGCCTGTTCTGGATCTTTCTGAGTCCCTGCCCAGCAACCCTAGAGAGGAGCAGACACCCCCTGAGACACCACAACCACCCCCAAACACCACCTGAGACACCACAACCACCCCCAAACACCCCCTGAGACACCACAACCATCCCCAAACACCACCTGAGACACCACAACCATCCCCAGACACTCCCTGAGACACCACAACCACCCCTAAAAGCCTCCTGAGACACCAGAACCACCCCCAGACACTCTCTGAGACACCACAATCACCCCCAAACACCCCCTGAGACACCACAATCACCCCCAAACACACCCTGAGACACCACAACCACTCCCAAACAACACCTGATGACCCACAAGGATCATCGAGTCCAACCTCATGGATATTTTCTCCAAGGATACGTTATCTTAGTCCCCATCTCTTTTCCAACAAGGAATGTCCAACACCTGAGACACCACAACCACCTCCAAACAACACCTGAGACACCACAACCACC